GACCAGGATCGGGACATCTGTCAAGGGGCAGAGCTACCAATGCAGCCCTTGACAGCTTGCTAAAACTCAGTAAGTGGTCTCCACCCAAAATAATTGCCTGCCCCTGATATGGATTCATCTTGTGCTTGTGCTATGCCACTTTGGTTGAGAATTACTAACCTAAACAATAAAACATACAGGCTAGAAATAACATCCAGTATATGAAATCTGCTGTGATCATCTTCACCTGGATTTGTGAGTGTCCAGTATCTGTGACAATTGTGCAATTGATCTAACTGCCTTAACAGAAAGGTACATACATTATAGGAGGTAAAGGGGGAGTTGCAATGATGATGCACAGCTCCACACCACCACTGCCCCTGCTACTGCCAGGCACTGGCTCTGACTGGGCTGTATTCCCCACACCCTGTGGGGACTTTTTACCTATACACACACACACACACACACACACACACACACAATTCATTAAATAATGTTTCATCCAATTTACGTGACACTGGGTACATCTACATATGCACTTTACTGTGACACAGACTAATTAGCTAATTCCACAGTAAAGCATCACCATCTACTCATGCACAGTATTAGGGCACAGTAAATTAATCAACTCCTCCATAAGATAGTACTGATGGGGACATATGGCAGAATAATTAACTGTGATGAAATGCGTGTGTGGATGGTGACCATTGTTGTAAATTGCACCTGGTCAGCCCAGGCAGCAGGGGGACCAGAATCCTGTCTGCCATCAAGCCACATGGCTCTGCACTTTTGGCACTTATGTCCCAGTCAGCCCCTCTGCCACCCAGTGCTGCCACCTGGAGCCTGGGGTTGTCCTCCCCTGAGCCTGCTGCCAGCCCACCCTGGCTCAAATTGCTGCTGTCCCAGGCACGTGTGTGGATACTGCACCTGGGAGTAGTGTACTCCAGCTCAAACAGCTCTGGAGTTTATTGTTTCACATTAACTGCAGTATAGATGCACCCAATAAGTAATCTTAAACCCCTAGGATACTCACTGGTAAAATCATGTATTTTAGTTATATATATATTAAACTAAAATGTAGTTTGTTTATACACACACACATATACACTGTGTGTGTGTGCATGTGTGCGTGTATACTACACGCACACACTAAAACACCTGATCTTTGATTAAAATTAGCTCATATGCCAAAGCACAAAGGGATAGATAGTATGAATATATGTGTATACACACACACACACACACACACACTCACACACACACACACAATATATATTGTATATATATATCAATTGCCAGCCTCTTCAAGCGGTCTCTATATATACTGGTATATATACAATGCAATTGATATATATACACAATATAAATTATGTATGTGTGTGTGTGTGTGTGTGTGTGTGTGTGTGTGTGTGTGTACGTATACACATATATACATACTATCTACCTCTTTGTGCTTTGGCATACAAGCTAATTTTAATCAAAGATCAGGTATTTTAGTGTGTGCGTGTAGTGTACATACACACACACATTATATACTACACATACTACTACATACTAGCTATATTACACACACACACACACACACACACACACAGATACACACACAGTGTGTGTTCATTTTTTTAATGTGTTCATTGTGCATGTGATTTTGGAGCCCACACCAGGGCTCCATTCCACTACCATTGCCTAGAGGGGCAGCAGTGGCAGTGCAGAGGACTGCAGGGCAGCCCAGGCATGGACTCCAAGTAGCTGCAGCAAAGCAGGGGGCATGTACACAGACCCAAACACATATGAGCAGCTGCAGCCTGAACACTGTGTAGATCAGCCCCTTGCTGGTAAGTCTGTGGAGGGAGAGGGGCGAGGGAAGAGGGACAGGGCAGGGGGGCAGATTAAGGTGCCCACAGTGAGAGAGGGAGTGGGGCAGGTGTTGGAGTGAATGGGGCCCCAAGGCCAGGGTGAGTCGTGGGACGGAGCCGTGGGGGGAGCTCGTCCAGGGGCACAGGGGTGGGGTGCAGCTCCCCACTACTGCACACACCCCAGGGCAGGCATGGGGGTCATATGTTCCCCAGATGTGTGTGCAGGGCAGAGGCAGGCTGCCCGCTGTGGGCTGGGGCTCTGCGCCCTGCTGCTTTTGCCCAGGGAGCTGCGCACTAGCCATGCATCCTCTGCTCACCCGGCAGCAGGAAGCACAACATGGCATCACATGGCTCCCCGAGCAAAGGCAGCAGGGCGCAAAGCCCCAGCCAACAGCAGGCAGTCCACCTCTCTCCCGGGCACATATCCAGAGGGCATGTGCCCTCCATGCCTTTCCCCGGGGGTGTGCATAGTGGCAGGGAGCCGCGTCCCACACGCCCTTGGACAAACCGCATGCTAATCCGTCCCAGAACCTGTGCCAGCCCCAGGGACCCATTCACCCCAGTGCCTGCCTCTGCCCCTGCCTCACTCCCACCCTCACCAGAGGGGCCTCGATCTGCACCCCCCACCCCTTCCCTTTCTCCGCCCCTCCTCCTCCACAGACTTACCTGCTGGGCATTGTCTGTGTGTGCGTATCTGTGTGTCTGCCCCTCACTCCCAAGCCACAGCCTCCCCCAGCCCTGCTGCTGCCCCTCACTCCTGACCCAAAGTACCCTGCAACCTGCCAGGGTGTATGGAGAACATCCCCTCCCTGGGCTCCAAACTGCTCACACACACACACAGCCCTCTACACCTTCACAAATTCCCCACACACACATTCCACCCCCACCCCCCAACCATACAAAGTAAGTACCTTAATAATTTTGCATACATTTGAGCTTTTCTGTGCATAATTTCAAGTTTTTAGCTGTGCAATTAAAATAGCAGTTAATTGCGACTATTTTGTTTTACTTGCACACCTAATCACCAGGGGTCCAGGTTTTCCATGTCCCACAGAAAAACGAAGTAAACCGTGGATTTTGCCTTTTACCAGAGGCAAACGCAGATTTCTCATTTTACCAGAGAAACCTGCAGATTTTGCCATTTTGAAATGAGCTCCCTGCAGGCTGGCAGAGTTCCTGCCCACAGGGAGTTGGGAGCGGGTGGGAGGAAAGGGGAAAGTCAGGGGGCAGGGAGCAGAGGAGCCACATGGAAAACCTCCTTGCCACTTCTTGCCCCCCCACTGCCCCGTCAACTCGGGTCCTGCGCCCCCCCAAAGCAGCAGCAGGCATTGGAGACACGTCACCAGGGCAGCAGTGGGGGGAAGCTTGCACCGGCGAGGAATCCTCACGCAGCCCCGCTGTCCCTAGCCACGCCGGAACCAGTTCCGGAGGCCCCGGGTTAGGGAAGTAGGGTGGAAGCTCGAGTCTGCAGCTTGTGCCTGTCCCGGGTACAGAACCGGGGGGGGGCACAGGTCTCCCCTGCCCCCTGGGAGTATGCGCAGCAGTGGGGAACCGGCCCTCCTCCCTGCCCCATGAGCCACCTGTGGTCCCATTCTGCTCCCGGCTGGGGCCCTGCAGCCATGCATCATGGTCCCAGGCGCCAAGCCCCACCTGGCTGGGCAGCAGCCTCAGCCTGCACCTGCCCTGGGTACAGATGGATCCCCACTACCCACCAGGAATGCATGCAGCAGTGGAGAAGCAGCCCTCCCCCTCACCCAGACAAGCTACCCATGGCCCTGTCCTGCTTCCCACTGGGCCCCAGTGGGCATGCATTGCAGTCCTGAACCCCAAGCCCCACACAGCTGGGCAGCAGCCTCAGCCTGCACCTGCCCCAGTACAGATCTGGGGAGCGTGGGTCTCCCCGGCCTCCAGGGAGTGCACGCAGCAGCAGGGAGCCACCCTGCCCAAGTCCGCAGCAGCAGGGGAGTGGGGGCAGGGAGCTGCGGACCCGGATCCATACCCCTGGCAGGTGGGGGTCCTCTCTGGCAGGGCTGGGGGAGAAGGGGCTGTGGGTGGGGGGCAAGGGGCACCAGCAAGGCTGTGGGGACTGTGGGTGGGAAGTAAGGGGCACCAGCAGGGCTGGGGGGGGCTGTGGGGGAGCCTTTAATTTTAATCACAGATTTGAGGGGGTTTAGCAGAGAATTTGTGATTTTTTTTATCAGGAAAAACCAGGATCCCTGCTAATCACAATAAATTTTTTAAATTGGTTGACAGCACTAATACACACACACACACACACACACACACGCACGCGCCCTCTCCCCCGATGAGCCTGATATAAGGAGAAGTAGATCAAGCTATGCAAAAGAAAACCTTTCTTTCCAGTCAATCTACTGGATTTGGTTAGTGTCAGCAACAGTGAATAGAAGAGAATGGATCCACTTTGTTTGTTTAGTCTTTCAAAAAATGTCAAAGTCCATCATTAGAGTAAGTTCAAAGAATGAAAATGATTAGGGGCATGGAAATCCTTGTCTATGAGGCGAGATTTACGTTTTTTGGATTGTTTACCTTAAAAACAAGATGACTAAGAGGAGACATTATAAAAGTACATAACGTATGAATGTTGCAGACAAGATAAATTAGGAATCTATGTTCCTCCCTGCCTTTTAACATAAGGACAGTGGAACAGTCAAAGAAATTAAGAGGTAGCAAATTCCAAACTGATAAAGGGAAATACCTTTTTGCATAATGGATAACAAGACCATCTAGATATGACACTAGCCACATTACGCCTTTGTGAATAACTGGCCTTTGAAACTGGCCTAGCAGGATTAGGCTAAGGGGTCGTTTGGCTCTAGCAGACCTTTGACTTTTATTTGTTGTTTCATATGAATGTTTCATATTTTAATTTAATCTCTATCCACTGGAGAGTAGGATTAGGCAGAATATCTCATATCTATTCTACTGCAGGTTCTTACACTTTTCTGTGACATTTCTGAGAGACAGGATGCTGGACTAGATGTAATTCAGGTTTAATATAGTATTACAGTCCTTTTACTCCTGTCATTATAAGAGGGTTTTAAGGAAACTAATTAGTAATTGGATGGGAGATAAAGCTACGTTTTAGATTAGAAACTGACTGTAAAACAGAAAACAAGACAATTTACAACACAGGCAATTTCCAACCTGGTAACGATGAATATCCTGACATCTGCAGTAAGCCTGGTAGTACATAATACATTTACAAGATATCTGGAAAAAAAAAAGAACAATGAATTGGCAACATTTGCAGATTGCAAGGAAAAAATAAGGTCAGCTATAACTAGAGAGGATAAAAAAATGGAGACATCAATCTGACTAACGGATGGAGGTTAGGAAGACATTTTTTTTTTTTTTTTTTATGGGCAGGTTATTGTATTGTGGGTTTCTTGCATCTTTCTCTGTAGCACCTAGTATATTCACAGTCAATATCAGGTTAAATGGACAGTAAGTCTGACCTAATATGTCAATCCTTATATACCTATAGTAGTGCTTATTTACCTGAAGGTGTGTTACAATTATTGATTAATTATTCATTAATCAGTATTAAATACCATCTATTTTATTTCAGTCTGCCTATAAACAATGATTTTTATTTTTTTTTACTTTTTTCTATAAGATCTCTTGAGTTACACTGCTAATAAATTGAGATGATTCTATTAGTTATCATGCAAAAATGTTATTATATCATTACAATGGTGTACTATTAAAATAGAATTATGACCTCTTAAAACATATTCAAACATATTTATTAATATTTCAGAAACTTTTATAACCTCTCCTGAAGATACACAGCCCTTCTGTAAATTAAAAACCGTAGTTCATTTTCCATTTTAACTCTTTACATCCAATATACCACTGTGGAATGAAAAGCAAAATTTTGTTCTATGTCTTTTCTTTGTCCATTTATAGCTCTGCATAAAAATACCTACATTTTTAGGGCATACAAGTGTGCAGTGACTTGAGGCCCAATACTACTAAGTTATATTCGTGTCAGTAGTCTCATTTGCAGATTACCCCTGCCTGCATAAGGATTTGCAGGATCAAAGCCCCTGTTAACCTGCAAATTTTTCCTGAGTGATGCCTGAAGGACAAACCCCTTGTTGAAACCTATAAACAGGTCTTTGTTTAAAGCAGTCAGACTGTATTTTGGAAGGATTTTTGCATTGCATGACAAAACAAACACACCTACAGAATTATCTCTGTTTATTGATGTGTCATTTGTTTGAATGTACTGAATATGATAAACAAAAGGTATCTTAGGACTTGTTAGGGAAACATAGTCAAAGCTTTGTAAGGAGGATATGAATTTATTTAAAGTGTTACAGTTTATCAAAAGGACAGATGGTGAAACAGACAGATGAATTATTATTACAAACTGGAGGGTTGATTTTTTTAAATTTTTTTATTTCTGTGACTATGTGATCTTACTCCAAAGCAGGTTCAGGACACTAGGGCTAGGGTATCAAGCTCACCTGGCTCCCCAGGCCAGCTCCAGATCATGGGGCTTCTCGCAGCCTAAGCCCAGATGTGGCAGGACTGGA